TCTTGTAGGGTGGAGACTATGAAGCAGGGTGCTTGATGAATGCACTTTTCGAATAAACATGTTCATCGGTGAGGTGGTAGTGGTGTTAGTATCCTACTCCCGGACACGTATCGTGTCCGTCGTGCTGGTGCCTTAGTTCAATTTCTCACATGTTGCTCGCATTGCAGTTCTTTCCCAGGTAAACTCAAGCGACTTGTCAGGTCACAGTGTTGTTGTGAAATGGCAGCAGGCTAGCGGCATTCTGACCGACCTCAGCGGATTCGTTGCACGCGCATACAGAATGTATGAAAACCAGAGTGGTGATTTTCAAGACGAGGTAGTCAACTGCACCGCAAGCATTACCGAAGGAAATGCTTGCATGCTGAGCGACCTCCAGCCATCAACCAACTACAGCATTCAAGTAGCAGCATTTAAAATGTCGAAGAGTGGAATTCCAACCTATGGAGACGAATCTGCACCGATTATTATTCTTACACGCAAGTCCCTTTTTCTTACATGATTTATTCTATGCTTGGTTTTCATCTGTAAACTCATTGTGGATGTCTGTGAATCACCCTGCGGGATTTAAGCAGCACGTGCTCACTTCCTGAGGCAAGATTAAGAGCAGAGCATTTCCGACAAAAGTGGGCATTGGCCGAGATAGGACTTACTACGGATTAAGGCTTGCATTGACCTTATGACAATAAGAAACCCACTTCCTCTTTTGCTTGAACGGTAATCAACGGGTGGCCCAAATGTGTCCTTAACCTTTAATCGTTATACTGCCCCTTCCACTCTTAAAGACCAGTGTTTGATGAGCCGACTTTCCAGACAACCGCTACTTAAATTTCCCAGCTTTTGTGGAACGCGTGCCTTAAATTTAGCATTTCCTTGTAAACACAAATGTAACGTCTGACGCAGATCGGCTAAGTGTGTGACTTGTGTAAAAGCATGATGAGTATTCGACTGCACGACACACGGCCGGGGTCTCATTACCAAAAATAATGTAAACTGGACACATGAGTGTATTGTTTCACTGACTGTCCACTGTAAAAACCAGTACGGCACTTAAGCCCTTGCAGACGAATCTAATAACCTTCGCCATGGCCTCTTTCGTTACCGTGAAAACATCCCGTGTCTTTTCCATTAAGCAAAATTTGCCAAAAATACTATTAAAAAGGTCCGACAGGGGTAGCATGAAGCATGGATCAAGGGAAAATTTAAGAATTGTCATAGAATCGTTGAAGATGATTTGTCTACATGGATCCCAAAAGCTACCTAACCTTGTTTTTAGCAGGACCAAGCCATCCAGCTGAAATTATGCAGATTAGGAACTCAAATTTTAGATTATTCAAACTCAAGGTTTAGCTTAGACAAATATCTCGCACTCATTTTCATACAGAATAGCAGTGTGAAGGTATTCCAATTGTACTTTCCGAGCCTCATTGTAAAAGAGTGAGGAGCACTGAAGATGCAGCCTGAGTCAATTACCCCGAGATAATGAAGTCCGCTTCATCTGTCAGCAGTTGGGAGTTATCTGGGAATCCTTGTTACAGTGATCAGCATAATTACTGATCCTGCAATAGATCATTGTTTGGGATATAACGCATTTACGCAAAGTGTGTGCCAACTGAAGTTTCCGGGCCTTGGGATTGCTGATTTTCTTCCGCCGAAAGATGCGTGTTCTTGGTACTATGAATGACTGTCCAGGTAGATAAAGAATCCTGATGGTAGCAAAGACTCATTGCATATTTATCCACTAAACCAAATTGTATTTAAAAAGGGAGAAATGTCCACTGTTCTTCGAATACGGCATTGAAACTGCAACAAGTTAACGGGGGTTTAAGGTGGTTTGTCAGTGACCAATATCAAATCGCAGGGATGATCTCGTCTTCTGATCTCTTTAGCGCCTATTTACCCAAGCGTAAGGAGTTTGAGCGCCGACAGGATTGCTGTTGCCATCGCGAACCGGTGTGTTGTGTTCGTCGTTGTGTTACCAGAAGGCAGGGAGTCCAGCAAAGGGTCCAATATTGCTTGCGACTGGGAATCAGCAACCTGCCACATTAACGATCATGGATCGAACCACGCCAACGTGATATCCCTCCAACTCTGCTCCAGTGATCCCAAATCTCACCACACACAACGCACGCGACGATCAATTGCTTACACTTCGCCAGACCGTATGTCATCGCATCCTAATCTCTACTGGTGTGAAGTGTGCATTAGTTCAGACAATGAAAACGTCTGTTGATTTCAGGAGAGGCATTTTCAGTTGATTTGGAAGTTGCGAGCTATGCGAAGGACGTGTTTGCAACTTCTCTGGGTCACGCGTTAACAAGACATCGAAGATCCATCTTATAAATACCCGTTAATGTTTGAAGTTTGTCTGATAATGAATTTCACGTGGCCTGCTTCAAGCGTTAACCAATCATGGACTAAGCATTCGAATCATGCCAATCAAAATACACCAAGTTAATTTTTAGCTCACTGTAGTCCAAGGGTGCCTTCCCACTCACCCAAGGTCTTCTTTAGAATCTACAAAACCCAAGTGCCAGTAAATGTTACAGAAGCCATATTTCTATACACATCAACGTCTGCTGTGGCAAAACTATGGCATCGGCTCACTTCAACTTGTGTATAACTGTTTCATTCTCTTACCTACATTTATGCACTCTTATTTAGTGTCTGATGCTGGCCGTGAAAGTCACCCGGCAAGATGGCTGTACGTGCTGGTACTCCTCTGGACTCTAACCTAGACGAAGAAACTGTGGAGGAACTCGTTGGCGTTAAAAGACGTGGTTTTTCTGCAGCACCCGAGAGGCCAATCTATGAGCTGTTATTTTTACTTGTGTCGATTTACTTAGATTTATGTGAATTCGGAGCAGTTGAAGCATTGCAATTTCACGCAACTACGATCAGCGTAACATTTTAGTGCTGTATTTATTATTTATTCTATGACCCCGTTGCAAACTAAATTTGCTTAACAGATTTATCGAATAAAGACTCGTATATCGTCAGTAGGTTGCCTAAATCAATTGTGTTAGTTCTGTAAGTATGCATGATGCATTAAATTTTTGGCATTGATATGGGGCTTGACGTTGTGGTGCTCTTCATTTGAATGTCTGTTCTGGTATTTTTGAAAATCATCCACCCGACTCCGCTAGTGAATAACCAGATGGTGTCAGGTCGATTCGGTCTTAAATTGTACGTGGTCTAGTGATTCAGGTTGACCCCAACAATTCACGAAGATTTGTGCATAAATTGCAGTTAAACCTGATGTTTTGACCTTGTAAATGTCGGGATATTGTCAGTCTGATTTAACTTCAATGTGCAAGTTAAATCCTGTTCAGTTTTTTTAAAATTGACTTGAGCTACGTGGGAATTAAATCTTGAATTCCTTCCATTCTGGACTGAACACAACGTGATTTTTACAAATATGCTACCTTAATCATTCATCTGAGGTAGATGATTTGCCAAAATTCTGATTAGCAGGTTGCTTCTGGTCGCATCGCGGAAGGAAATGTTTGACTGCGTTGCTGCCCTGTGTTGCTCCACCATCTACCTTAGGCAAAAGTAGATAAGCCAACTTGAGAACAGCTAAATGATTACATTAGCAACGAGGCTTGCAGAGTTAAAAATTATGGTGTTAAATGGATTGCCTTGCAAAAGCATCACACATTTGTCTCCTGCGATTGCAGACGATTACAGTGACGTTATTAAAATCAGTACATTCGACTTACAACGGATTATTCCCTGGCCTGAGATACAAATAGATTTCTGTAAATGTATGCGGACTATGCATCAGACGACTAATATGAAAACACTAAGTTTGGCATTCAAATGATGCTTCTGCCTCATGCTTCAAATATCCTGGGTTCGCCTACGTACTGTTAATATTTCTCTCACAGGTAATCACATAAACCTATTTCCAATTATTGCTAAACATCTGCTTTAAATTAAAAAAGTCCTGCCAAATTCAGGTGAAGCAACGAAGAGAAAGACGCTTTGGTGAAAATAACATCATGATTACTCTATTGGCTCTTGCATTTTTCTGTGATTTCTTGAAAACTGAATAACACCGAAAATAAATGCTTAATGGCCAAAAATGATTATTTACCCGCCAGGAAAAAAATTATGCTGTGTGTGTGGGTAGTTTAAGCACTTTTTACGTAGCGGCCTCAAGTACATTTAGAATTTCAGGATTTCGTGCAAGCTCCAGACGCAGATGCCCTTTCATTAAGGTTTAACAATCACCATCGTTGTTTTACCACGTCTCCTACACTTATTGACTTTGTATATCCAAACTTCATAAGTAATAAATTTATGCTAAAAATATTCTCTTTCTCAAATGAACAATTGATGTTTTCAAGGAAATTTGATCAAGTTTGCAAAATTTGATATTCGTCAGTCAAGTTTTCTATGATTATTGAAATTGTAATGTCATGATAAATTGCATGCAGGACACTATTTATTGAACTGGTTAAACACGCGTTCGTGTTATTAAAGGGCAACATCTTGCTTCACATTAAGATTTAGATTGAGTGAAAAAAGGTGACCAGATTAAATTTATTCTCTGAACATATGCTCTCATTCACTAGATCACTGTTCCGATAAACTCATTATAAAGTTAGCGGTTCGCATAGGTAACCTTATCAAGCGTAAAACATTGGTTTGTCACACTTCAAGTGAAACAGTGCTCAAATAAAAGACGTAAGATACAGACCTCCTTGATGTCATTTTTAACCAAACTTATTGACTCTTTATTCTACATTTTTGTCTATAACCTGTACAAATGTCCTTACTTAATTAGCTGGCGCCAAGACATTTTCGATGACAGCATTCAAATTCATCCTAATTTTTTTCCATAATTAAACGCGATGACATCAAAGCATATACATACTAGTTGAGTAGCAAAATGAACGGTTTGTACTTGAAAGCATTCAATCCTTAACGGAAACTAAAGTTGTTATAATGACTTGATGGTACTAATGCAAGCGCCTAAGGTTGTGTACGCACCAAAGCGGCATTACAAATGTTTTTGTCGAATTAGAAACTTTCAAAACAGTAAGCCTTTTTGCCTGAACAAGTACTATTTTTACTAGTTGGTTAATGTCGCCAGAGGCAATGCAAATGTGCTACAATCTGAAAATTTTCTTTTGTGACAAATTGGCTTCCCAAAACCTTTTAAATTAATCTGTATCATGTGCTTTATTACTATATAAATGCAACTTTTTGCGTACGTTGAAATATTTTTTATCCTGCATTTATCAAATGAAGAGACTCATGTTGAATTTTTTCGTTTTGTGTTTTTAGTCACGAATAAATATGAAGGCGCAAATGGAGTTTGCATTTCTCTTGCTGTTGCCTTTAGTCAAAGTGGAATGTAAGTTTTTTGCAACTTAAAATTGTAACTGAACCTTCAATATTTGGTTTCTGACAATAGTTTAAAGATACTGTGTTTGCCTCCTAAATACTTATCAATCATGGCATATCTATTTTGTATTTAGAATTTACTTTAGTTCCGTTGCTACTACAATTTTGTCTTTCTTTTCTAGCCATCAGCGCGGTAGATTTTTGTTCAACCACTTGCTAAAAATGAACCATGGATTTAAACTAATATATTTCCCGTATACACTGATTGAGCTTTGGTTAGGTGACTAAAATCAGACTTGATGCCCAAATCGCATCGCTACAAATGTTTTAGTGAAAAGCTCTAATCTTGGCATTAAAGATGCTCTAATTTTAGTGCGATGCAATATCTAGTACAAAGAGATCCCCTTTAAAGATATGTCAACTTCAACTGTAACGTGTGCCTCTCATAATCTAACCTTGCAACCACTAACATTGTGCCCTCATACTGCAGAAATAGTGTTTCAATGTATTGGTCAAGTGTAAAGTTGTTTCGAATTACATCACAAATTATCTGAGTAATAAAAATATGTTAAGATGCTACTAAATGCGATACTATAATATGTGATTCAGACATCATCAAAATGGTTTCTGTTTCGATTCCTCAAGCAAGTCACTCGTGTTGTGCAAGGAAAGAAAGAGGTTGATTTTCTGTCTCTATGAAAAGCTAGAGAATTTGCTTGCATGGTTCTCTGATGCAACAGACAATTTGCTCTATTCTCCGGCTTATGTGTAACAGAAACTTAATGTTTGTTCTAAATCAACACGTTCGCCTGTTTGTGTAGACAACTTTCGTGTGAAAGCGAAGGCTTTGCTATCCCACGTCAGTTGTACCTGAGGTGTTTATCATAGGGCTTTGTAACTGATTTCTTAAACAGCCCACCTACAACACTAGTAACAATGTTTTTTGTCCGCAGGTTCCGTTGATCCCAAACCTCTTGGACCAAATCAGTAAGTTGGCGTATTTGTCGTGGTTGAGTGCCTAACACATAACCCCTACATCTGGGTTGATCTTTAATTGATTAACAAAACTTTGATATTCTGTGCGCCAGTCATCATTATTACGTGCTCACAATTATTTCTTTGAGTAGTGGTTTTCTGAATTTCAACACACGTCATCATGATTTTCGCCTAGTTGCCATAAACACAACTGCTCACTTGACAGCCAGGCAGCCAGACGTGGCCAGTCTTGGCTCACCGTTTCACGTGGGTGTGTGTGATTCACAAATCTGGCAGCCGACGTTATGGCTAATTTCATGCAGGGATCAGAGAAGACTCTAACTCCTCTACGCAGTAACTGTATGTGCTAAATAGACCCAGTCCTGTTCTCTTACTCGAGTGAAATGGACCATTTAGTAGTATGGAAATTGGAACGTGCACATTTACTGTTTTATCTTCGTCAGCAAATTTGGACACACTTTTGCAGATTGCTTTTTCATATACTAATGCCCTAATCCGTTTAACAAGACAAGAGCAATCTTATTGAGACCCCATTGTTTACTATAAAACGTGTTATGTTACATTATGTGATATAATATTTTGAGTACATGTGCTTAACTGCTTCTTTTCCCAACACATCCCAAATTGGTGTTGATTCTAGCACTGGGGTTGCTTTATTTTAAAACAAACTGAGGAATGTCTTCGTTATCGGTATTTGTGCGTATGTGTAAAGCTGTCATGCATTTAGGAGAAAACTTGTCGCTTTGTCACCGTAGCCATGGTGTACATTCACGTTGTTTAATCTGTGCAGTCACAAGCTAGACTTAACAGGTGAATGTCTGTTTAGGGTTTGACGTATTGTGTAAACACACACGCACACACGCACATTCGACGGACTTAATGTGGCTGATTCACGTTTGGTCAGTTCATGGAGGTCTGATGTGCAAAGGGCTGTATTTGAAGGAATCAGTCAGTTTCAAACGTCTAATTCAGACAGGCCAATTAAGAAAATGCGAACGATCGATTAGCGCAGTCGTTGGCTCTGTTTTCTGTTGGGAATGGTGCCTAACCGGTGTTTATCTTGCCAATCATGACATATTTTGCATCGTAGGTAGTGAGTACAAGTCGTTCTACTGGTGTCAGTGGTAAAGCCTGAAGTTTATAACACTGCTACGATAGTGGCGATTTCCTGTTTAATCCGACTGTTTGCACCAACATTTTGGGTTGCATGCTTCAAGTCAAAACAGGACAACGCGCAAAGAGCCCACGTGTTTGGCCTTCAAGAATGAGGCTGGTGACGACTGCGACACGATGGATTGTCGCATCAGTCATATCTTATAACTCTACATTTCAGATATTTCGATGGACCAATCAATTGGGTGGTTGAAGCGGCAAGACGACAGATGTTTTACTTTGTGCAATGACCCTTTGATCAAACACAAGTGTACTCCAAGTTGACAAGTCGTTCGATAGTTTCAAATTAAAATGCAGTCAAATGTTTTTCGCGGATCCAACCTGGATGTTCACACAGAGCGTCGTTGTCGATTGCTGCTTTTGTTCTCATTGTTGTCCTTTCCAGCTGCGTTTCTCCATCTACTATTGTTTTAGATGCCTGCAGTAGTTAAATCGGCTGAATACAGAGGGTGGTTTCGTAGTGGTTACAGTGTGTTCAACGTAAACAATGCAGAATGCGTCAACTGCTGTCACGCTAAAGGCGTATTCTGTAGTCAGAATAGGAGCCGATGTTTGATAATATAATGGGTTGAGCTACACCCAACCATTGTTTTTCTAAATCACGTTGACCAGGAAGACACAATTAGCTTAAAACCTTTTAGTTTGAAAGAAGGTTTTGTTGGTGTCTGGCCATTCCTGGAGTTTGCATTCTTTCAGAAGAGCGATTTCCACTAATTTCTGTAAGGAGCCACCTTGAAGTCTGCTCTTAACATGGAAGCCCTTAAATCGATTATTGCCTCATTTCAGCTGTTATTGTTAATTTAGGAATAGCGTTGAGCACTTGCGTCCTAATTTCTGTTCCTGTCTAATCAAAGTAAGCACAGTTAACCCCCACGATATCATTTTTAACTGGTTGTTAAGTCGATGAGTCTTGTAGATTTCCGTAAAAGTGGGGATTTGACGGGGTCCTTATGCGTCGATCAAGGTCTTTACAAGAACCACCCGGGGATTTGGAGACCTACATAGTTTCGCAATTTATTGTCGTTTTAACTAGTGTCATAATCCATGTCATAATTGTTAATATTATGCTCACACAACTAACCGAACACAAAACACGAATTTACGTCTTGGCCTCTGTAGCTGCCTCTGATTGTGTACTTTCAAATTTCAAGTACACTTATTTGTTCACCAAATCTAGCATTCAATTCAACAAAAATGCTTGTAATTCTGCTACGGCAATGTGTCACCGAGTAATATGAAGGGATTTTTGATTGTATTTGACACTTTTTAGGGTCCCAGCAACAAGCATTGCAGGTAACCTACACATCACTCCTCAGATATACATTGTAATTGCTGTAATCACTTGCCTGACGATTTCTTGCATTTAAACACGAATCTTGTCACTCAGCTTCTGATTAGCTGAAATGAATCGAACGTGTACAGAAATCAATTCAACGAATCAAACGACTCACCATCCAGTGCTGCTTGCTTATGGTCGATTGCTCTACTGCTTCATGTGTTTGTGTGCTTAAATCCTAAAACTTGCCAATGGTGAGACATTAAATACTTTATCCAAATCTTAGTTGATCGGGAGTGACTTGAAAGGCTCTTTATCGTTAGTATCTGTTACACATGATTTAATTAGACCATTCGTGCTGGGCTATTTTTAATGTGCATTGAAAAAGTCCTCAAAACATCGGCACCCGACTCGCAGGCTACAAACACTACTTACTCAGATCTACTAGCACTTCGCAGTATTTACGTAAATTGTGCATTTCCTTTGCAGCCACGCGTATTCCTTCACTTGATCCATGCAAATAACGAATTCGGTTAAATGCAAAAGTAGGAGTATACATGTTGTCGCACAAAACGACCGCCACAAGCAATTTCGTGGCAAACGGTACTCGGACGTTCATAGACCACTAAATACCCCGAAGTGGCTTTTCAGTGGCGGCTTTCATTGTGATAAGCACAGAGTGGTTTTTCAAGCCCTCAACTTGCACATCGCTAAGAACTAGGCACAATGCACTACAGCAGCACTTCAATGACTTGCATTCCATTTAGCTCCAAGTGCGCCCAGACCAAAGGAGAGCACCTCCAGTAGCATCGTTCTCTCGTTTGATCGATCGACAGAAGACAAGCTACACGACTTCAACTACTACGCTAAAAAATTCAGGCGGAACCAGGCTCGACATCCAGATGCAAAAGGCGTCTTGTGTGACACCTCAGCAGCTGTTTGCAGAATGGAAGGTCTTCAGTCCAACACGGCGTATAAATTCGTGGTGAAAGCATGCGCGACCAAGCCCTCAGAGTTGTGTAGTCTAAATTCTCCTGAATCTGTCGTGATGTACACGAAACCAGAGAGTAGGTTTGCTCCAGATGCATACTTGTGTTTCCCATTGGTGCTATCGTCGATCAAAGGTTGTGGCCACACCTTGATGGGCTATTGAAGTGTCGAGTCGATTAAAATAGCCTGACTGCATCAATAGTCTCTACTGCAACAACCGACAGTTTGTTGTGGGTCCCAGCACGTAAACTTGAACCACGCCGTAACCACGGAATTAACCCTGGCCCGATTGCGTTTCCCTGATACCCGCAATGAAGAAAAATCCCCGGAGGGGACGTGGACACGACCGATTACTTTAGAGCTCAACCACGTTGGTGTCGTTGTGTTGTGTGTGGGGTTTGCGCGTGTTATTTATACTTCGGGCGCGTGAGTCGAAGATGCGCTAACATCGAGACCTAGGTGTGAGGATAATCCAAGATAAATATGGGTGTGAATGAGGGGGGAGTTGAGGATCCGCGTGGCTAGCGACATGCTGCGAAAAGTGGAACCCTGTGTCGGAGGTAAAGCAACTGGATTAAGGGATTTAATAAACACGATTCACAACAAGTTGGCTAAAGCAAACTTTCAGCAATTTGGATTTGTAATAGAAAGTAATCCGATGGTAACAGAGGTTTTATGCATGTCATGATCTTGGTATGTACATGAATCCCAACTGGAACAAAAAGTGCACAGAAGTAAATCAAAAAGCGTGAATACAAATTGTTGTATTCGTTAACTTCGAATACAATGAGGACAGGAGCAAAAGCAGGAAGAAATCGATGTCAAAATTGCTGAATTAAATCAACTGTGGAAATAACACAGGCTGCAGAGGTATTTACAACTCATTCGCTTCTATCCACCCTCAATTACTTCTTACTCATTTTGCATTAGCGCCCGATGCTCCAACTGTAAAGGAATCCACTTCCAACAGCATCACCGTCGCCTACACGAAATATCCCACCCAAGCAAATTTGGCAGTGTCTGTTAGAGCATCACCAGTGGGTGGTGAGGCAGGTGAAACCCGTGAAGCTGCCTGCAACAACGAGGAGGCGACATGCCACCTAAGTGGCCTCGAAGCGAACCGAGCCTATTCCGTGTCCCTCAAAGCCTGCACTACCGATCCCACACCACACTGCAGCCAATGGTCTGAATCCACGACAATGTACACCAGACCCAATCGTATGTCGTGTTTTTATTAAATAATAGTTATCTTGTAATTTGCCTCAGTTGAGAAGATTAGGGTGCGTCTATTCGCTTCGTTCTCTGCACTCAAAAAACTCTGCATTGACTTTGACAAAAGCGGGTACAGAGTGAAAATGTCACAAGACAGCAGAATTATCGATGCATTCTATGAATGTGTTAGTGCTGCGATTTTACGACCAGCAATTTCTGTGGTCATTGTGTTGAAATGTCGTGTAGATCCGAAAAGTTATGGTTAATTATTATGCGCGAGTCTTATGCCAGGAATAACTAGATGCACCCTACCGCTTCACCTCATCTGCTATCGGCGCACCACCTGTGCGTCGGGCTGGGATGTGGAATGGCGAAACCAATTTGAAGCACAGACATGGTGAATTAGAGATGCGTAGTCGTATAACGGTATGATTACTCATAGTGTACGATCGAACATTAAATATTGTGGAATACGTAGAACTGTCCTAACTCACACAGGGTACCCATAACTAATTATGTCTGTGGTTTCAATGAATGCATTTATAACAGTACAAACTCGCAAAAGTTGTGGAAGATTAGAGTGACGGTTTAAGATTCTCGGCTTGCACATTGCTACGTGCTGAAGTGAAAGCACTTTGGAAACGCACGTTCCTTTCTGCTCCGAATGCACCCAAACTGAGGGACGCCACATCCAGTAGCATCGTTCTCTCGTTTGATGGATTGACAGAAGACAAGCTACACGACTTCAGCTACTACGCTGCAGAAGTCTGGCAGAACCATATCCAGCGTCCAGATTCAAAGGGCGTTTTGTGTGACACCTTAGCAGCTGTTTGCAGAATCGAGGGTCTCCAGTCCAACGCGGCGTATCAATTCGTGGTGAAAGCATGCGCGACCAAGCCCTCACAGTTGTGCAATCTGAACTCACGTGTATCTGCCGTCATGTACACGAAACCAGAGAGTAGGCCTGCCTCAGATTTATGTATACTTTTAACTGTTTCGCTTAGTCATCAGTCCAAGTTTGTGGACTTTAATGGATGGGCTGACGATTTGGCAAGTCCTTTAAAATTGCGTGACTGCATCAATAGTCTTGTGCGCAACAACCAATGTTTTACGACCCACTAGTGCGATGCTCACCTTAATGTAGCTGTCAAGTAACAATGGGTGTTTGGTATGGCGTCTGTACCTACTCCATTGTTAAAAGTCTCAAATGGATTCTCAGTGGGCCATGAATTGTTTGTGGAAATCTTTGGCTTCTGTTCCAACTATTTGTAAATCATGTTAGGCGTCAAACAATATGGGTTTTCACCTAAAACACGATCTTATCGTGATAAAACTGCAATGTATCTTAATAGGTAATATAACAGTCTAAATGAAACCTGGACAAGAATAACGCAGCAAGCTTTTATGGCTCCAAGGCCTCAGATGCGAAGCTCCGAACACAGATAATCGGGCCCCCTTTTTAGCACGTGAGTGGCTTCCTACACCAGCACTCTGACAAAACACGTGTGAGACCTCGTACAAAGAGCTTCCGCTGCCTCAGCCAAAGCTCGGCCGAATACGCGTTCTCATGCGCCCACCTAAGTATGGCGTAGGCGGCCTTGAGTGCAGATACGGGCATTAGTACACTCAAAGGTGCTTGGACCAATAGGAAGAAGGAGGGGAAATGAGTACGATAGTTGGTTTGCGTAGGCATGAGTGATAGTGAAAAGCAGGCAATTGTGAACGTCTTGGAATATATAGTCTTGGGCATACTGAAACCCCAACAAAGCCTTACTTTGCTGTGCATTAAAAAGGCAAAACAAATTAGTAATCGGTTGATGAGAGGGTTGTTTTTATGTAAATTTATCAATGAGAAAGTAAGACAAAATTATCAGAACAAAGGAGCAAGGCGTGTGCTTTTGGAATGATTTTATTGTTGAAGTAGTTGATTCGTCAATGTCAAATACAGTGGAGGCATTTGGTGACAGCCAAAGTAGAAAAAAGGCGTGGATGATAAATTTTCTAGTGAGAGTAAGAGGAGTGAATGGAGAATGACATGCGTAGTAACAGCTCAATCATCTCAACGCGTTCTTTTACCTCTTAGCGCCCGATGCTCCAACTGTAAAGGAATCCACCTCCAACAGCATCACCGTCACCTACACGAAAAAACTCAGCCTAGCAAATTTGGTAATGTCTGTTAGAGCATCACCAGTCGGTGGTAAGGGAGGTGAAACTCGAGAAGTTGCCTGCAACAACGAGGAGACGACATGCCACCTAAGTGGCCTCGAAGCAAACCGAGCCTACGCCGTGTCTCTCAGAGCCTGCACTTCTAACCGCTTTGAGAAACGTTGTAGCCAGTGGTCAGACAATACCACAATGTTCACCACACCAAACCGTATGTCCTCTTACTGTACCAATTGGATACCACGGAATTCACCTTGTCTGCTAATATTACCAGGCCTGTTCCGTGATATTTGCCTGGTATAGAAGTGGCCAATTACATGTAATAACAATCACGAATGTGCAAAATAACGTGTGCATCCCTGATTGGTGTTTATGCACGTTGAATGAATTTAGAGACGTGGCAAAAATGGTTAATGCAGATGTGGATTTTGCTTATCTCTATTTTGAGATCTGTGTTTCGGTTGTAATGATTGTGGAGAAACGCCGATTCAAGTTTGGCCGTGAACACATCTCTCCCATATCGCTGTCTGCACATTCATGTTTAATTTACTAGCATGAAAAGTGTGTGTGTGTGTGGGTATAACAATCAAGGCGATGTTGGCGTTAGTATGCCTCATCGAATATTTTACTGGTCACAGGTTTTGTGGTTAATGTCATGTATCGAGTATTGTTTACATTAAAGCCTCAACGATTACTCTAATTTATAGTTTGTTTAGTGTTTTATTTAACATGTTGAAGAGCATCATGTAAATCAGGACGGAATGTTCCAAATCAGAGAGATTAATGAAGGCCTGTTACTTGCCACTAGTGGTCAACCGTGCCCCTAAAAATTCTACAAAATCTAAGGTCGTGAACTGGTGGCTGTAGCGTAAGGAGATTTCTATACATTGTGATATTCTACTAGTGTTTCCATTTAAGACAACTTAATGAAGTGTGTGGACATCGTCGCAGATACTCTGATAATATTATTAATTGGTTAACGTCTGTTGAAAGGATTATTCGTAGACTCCAGAGCATGACACGAAACATTTTTGATAAACTCAGAGGAAGTTGGATCACTAATATCATAGATCACGTGTCGACCAGACTACATTCTTTGTAGCTCTCCCCCCACCTAGACTATTCCTTCTCTGCTTAGGGCCTGCTGCTCCAACAATGACGGAATCCACCTCCAAAAGCATCACTGTCACCTACACAGGGAAACCCAGCCTAGCAGATTTGGCAATGTATGTCAGAGCATCACCAGTGGGTGGTGAGGCAGGTGAAACCCGTGAAGCTGCCTGCGACAACGAGAAACTCACTTGCAAACTACGTGGCCTCAAGGCAAACCAAGCCTATACCGTGTCCCTCAAAGCCTGCTCTACCAACCGCTACGAAAAACGTTGTAGCCAATGGTCAGAACCCACGACTGTGTACACAACACCAAGCAGTATGTCATGTTTCGCTAATTTTTGAAAAACGTGTCATTTTAATTTATTAAATTTATTGTTTTACTCAATGAAATAATAACAGCTCAGACTCCGGCCATGAACTACCCGGTATGTTGTTGAAATTTATCATGTTGAACAGACGTACATTGCATAGGAGTACTGTAGATGGTTTTCAGAACAGCCTTGCGTGTTTCCTCTTGCAAAATATCTTTTGTTGTGTGTCTAGTATTCGGTTTTCATCCTCCAGATTCGCCAAGCACCACGTCATTTGAATGAGGCCCATTTCTGAATGGCAGCAGTTCAGATCCTCTCATTACAGGCAACCACTAGCCTTGGTAAAGTATAATCGTCAATGTGCCAAGATAAGGAAGCACAAACGAATTGCCGGAGGTTCGCATGTGCGGAGTCTGTGCTTGCGGCATCACAAATTCACAATGCCTAACGCACCCACGTATTATCTATGATATCGTGTACTGAGAGAGTTGTTGCCTGACATCCACGCTGCTAGTTTGTGATGGCAACATGATGGCGAATACTCTCCAAGTCCGAAAGATGGAGAAATTATCATTTCAATTGTAGTTGATTTTTGAACTCACGAATGCGTTTTTGATTTGCCGGCAAAGAGTCCGTGTTCAGTGGAAGTTATGGGCCAATTGCGGAACTCCTGGCACGACTAAGTGACGATTTGATTAGTCAATTTGGCAGCTCACATTCTTTTCGAGGAAAGAGATTCCAGATTTTGCACAGCACTTTGACAGTCAAGACAGAGGATGGTAAGCTATCGAAAAGAATATAGAAGGATAGATCAAAAATGCAAAACACAAGATTTCCACAAAGGGTAATCACATTGTTGACAAGTGTGTCTGAAAAGCAAGTCAAATCAAAGTGAAGATAATGCCTCATTTTGTGGGTGCAAAAGGTATGCGTCTTCTCTTAACGCCAACTGCGACAGCAGTTTAATATTTAATTGCACGTTGAAGTAGACTAGTGTTATCGTTAGTTTAGCAAACAGAGTTGAGTAATCACAGAAATGTGCAAGTGTATAGGGTTGCAGACAAACACTTTGCACTAATTTCGCGAATGTCTCTAGGCAAAAATTAGGGAACATTCTCATTGTGCCTGCGTTGCCATCCTGTATTCGAAATACACTATAAGATTGATCAAATATATGGGAGATAAGTTGTGAATATGAATGAGACGATCCGCGAGTTGAAATGTGCTTAGATGGACTCATGTCTGAGCAGGAAATAGATATTCCACGCAGATTGCTTATGGACAGTATAGCCCCAGGGTGACATCTGTAACCCATCCAAATACACACTAATATTTGCCAAATTGAATGCACTCCAATGACTTGCATTATCTTTAGCTCCAAGTGCGCCCAGACCAAAGGAGAGCACCTCCAGTAGCGTCGTTCTCTCGTTTGATCGATCGACAGAAGACAAGCTACACGACTTCAACTACTATGCTAAAGAAGTCAGGCAGAACCAGGCTCGACGTCCAGATGCAAAAGGCTTTTTGTGTGACACCTCGGCAGCTGTTTGCAGAATGGAAGGTCTCCAGTCCAACACGGCGTATCAATTCGTGGTGAAAGCATGCGCGACCAAGCCCTCAGAGTTGTGTAGTCTAAATTCTCCTGAATCTGCCGTGATGTACACGAAACCAGAGAGTAGGTTTGCTGTAGAATAAAGTAGAATTGTCTTGTTTTTGAGTAATTAATTGTAGTGGACTCGTATGTAGAAAATCCAAATGCATACCCAGGCTGTCCAAAACCACGTTTTCGTTATGCTGGCAGCCACGGCCTGGTGAAATGTAGCTTCAAGATATGTTTGAGTCGGCTTGGATTGCCACCCGGTATATTCCATTTAAATAATGCCAAGCGGTAGTTTATTTTGCCTGCTGTGCGTCTGTCCTTACATGTTGAATTCTTAGCTAGTCACAACAGCCCTCATTGATCAAACGATCGCCATGGCAAAACAGTAGCACGAGGAGTGTGGGGACAATTATGCACAAATGACTGCAGATTCTTGAGGCATTTTCGGCCGACTTAGTGCTCTAAAAAGTAAGTTTGAAAAAATCTGTAAAAGGGACAATTTTAACGTTCACTAAATCTATTGACACCTTCATGAGACGGTCCAAGAAGTGGTATTCCTAACCATCAAGGCATTTACATCGGAACCTTACCAACTCAGCATTTGTGAAGATATTGTGATAGGTATAACACTTAACGCGCTAGGAAACTATTCAGAATTTAGATGTTGTTGAGTATGGCGCTGAAGTAGGTTCTTAGAAATCCGTTGTGGGCCGCAAACGCACACCGAGGCAACTGATTAGTCACTGATTTCGCGACTGGAAGAATCATCAAACACCACGATAAGAATGCGAAGACCAAAGCTGATGTAGGCTCATGCTTATATTAGGTTGCTTAATCAGCGCGTGTGAATGTGCATCCGTGGATATTCGCGTGTATTTTTACTTCGGTAAGCCTGAGACTTCGGGTTGTAGCAGAGAGGTATCGGATGAGAATCTCGGATATACATTTTGAGTTCATTGGATTGGACAATGCGCTTGGGGGCAAGCGCCTCATCGGGAGTCATTAGGAGGTAGAAGACCAGGGAAATTGTCATGCATGAACCCTGGTGATGGTTTTGAATCCACAGGATCCACCATATTTGCAGAGTCGGCAAATTACAAATGCCTTGTTATTGTGCAACTCCTTCATTACTTATTTTTTCTTGTCTTAGCACCCAATGCTCCAACAATGAAGGAATCCACCTCCAACAGCATCACCGTCACCTACACGAAGAAACCCAGCCTAGCAGATTTGGCAATGTCTGTCAGAACATCACCAGTGGGTGGTGAGGCAGGTGAAACTCGTGAATTCCCCTGCAATAACGCGAAGGCGACATGCCACCTGAGTGGCCTCGAAGCGAACCGAGCCTATGCCGTGTCTCTCAGAGCCTGCTCTACTAAACGCTACGAACAACGTTGTAGCCAGTGGTCAGACAATACCACAATGTTCACCACACCAAACCGTATGTTATCTTATTTTACCAATCGGACACCGAGCAATTCACCTTGTCTGCTAATATTACCATGCCTATTCCGTGAATTCGCCTGGTATAGAAGTGGGCAATCACAGGTCACACCAATCACGTGTATGCAGAGTAAAGTGTGAATCCCTGATTGGTGCAATTACACGTTGAATGCATTTAGTGACGTGGCTAAAATGGGTAATGCAGATGTGGATTTTGCTTATCTCCATTTTGAGAACTGTGTTTCGGTTGTGGCGATTGTGGAGAAACGAGAATTCGAGTTTGGCCTTGAACAGATCACTCCCATATCGCTGTTTGCGCATTTATGTTCAATTTATATGCACGAAATATGTGAGTGTGGGTAGCAGTATTACTTCGCATCGAATGTGTTGCTGATCACTAATTTTATGGTCGCCGTCGTGCATCTAGTTTTGTATACGTTGCAGTCCCAACAATTTTTATTACTTGACGCCGAAACTAATAATAAATAGTTTAAACACTGGTTTATTCAACATGTTGAATAGCCTATTGTTAGTTAGGACCACGTAGAAAACACCAAAGAAACAGGTGTGTGCCTAATACTAGCAGCTTGGTGTCAACAGTGTTGGCAAAATTCTACAGAATCTAAGGTCGTGAACTGGTGGCTGTTGCGATCATCGAGTCGTAAGGAGATTTCTATACACCGTGATATTCTACCAGTATTTCCATTGAAAGCAACCTTATGAAGTTTGCGGACACCGTCACAAATACTCGGCAAATATTATCAATGAAGTATTGTCGGTCAAGCATGTAATCAATGGACTGCAGACTATGACATGTTAAGAGGTTTCGGCAAGTTTAACGGAAATTAGTTAAAAGACAGTATAAATCATTTGTTCTTTAGACTAAATGCCTTAAACCTTTCCTTAATTTCTTCTTTTTCTATTCGCCCTAGAGCCCGATGCTCCCGTTTTGACGGAGTCTACGTCTAACAGCATCACCGTCACCTACACGAAAAAGTCCACCGAAACAAATTTGGCAGTGTCTGTTAAAGCATCACCAGTGGGTGGTGAGGCAGGTGAAACCCGTGAAGCTGCCTGCAACAACGAGGAGGCGACATGCCACCTAAGTGGACTCGAAGCGAACCGAGCCTATTCCGTGTCGCTCAAAGCCTGCACTACCGATCCCACACCACACTGCAGCCAATGGTCTAAATCCACGACAATATACACCAGACCCAATCGTACGTCGTGTTTTCATTAAATAATGGATGCCTTGCAATTTGCCTTAGTCCAGATGATTAGGGTACGTTTGTTCACTTCGTTCACTGCACACAAAAGACTGCATGGACTTCGGCAAAAGCGGGTACAGAGTGAAAATGTCACGAGACGACAGAATTGTCGATGCATTCTCTGAATGTGTTAGTGCTGCGATGTTACGATCAGCCTCTCCCGTTGTAATCGTGTTGAAATATCGTAGAGATCCGAAAAGTTATGGTTAATAAATAGGCGAAAGTCTTATGCCAAGAATAACTGTTGATTTGTTTGTTATTGTAGAGCCGCGAAACCTGCGGCTAGAGAACGTTTCATCAAACCAAATAGAGGTGTCATGGGAAGAGCCTGTGCCGAACGCTGAGACCATCAGCAATTATGAGGTTACTGCTTGGGACCAGAACAACCGCACCACACCCTGCACCTTTGAACGTTCCGAATTGAAATGCTCCCTGAAAAATCTCCAGCCAACTACACAGTATACAGTCAGTGTAAAGGCCTGTTCAAGGAGCAATTTTTGTGGTGCAGCAGTTCAGGCATCCACGTGGACGAGGCCTGAAAGTTAGTTGGTGATTGATAATTTAATTTTCAATCACGTTTGCAGTTGCCAACACCATTTCTTAAGCAAATATAAAAATCAATAGCTTTTTGAGATGTGTTTCCATCCCTATCAAGGGGAGGGTAGCATGTGAAAATGCGCTTGTCAGTGATAACACCAGGAAAATCATGGGGATGATTATGTGATAATGGGGCGGAGAGGGGAGGTATTGAGAAATACCGACTTCCTAAGTACGTAATACTCAAACGTTAGTTCCGTGACTGCACCGACATCGTGGAGGGAGTGATTGGTAGGCAGTAGATCGGTTGTCTGCGATTGTTCTGATGAGGCTTCTGCTATTGGCGCAGGTGTCTTGAGTGGTTTCATAGTGCTGTTTAAAATGTTAGGTTTCTCCAAGTGTTGTCTCTGGTGGTGTGGGTTCTAAGACCTACCCGGCCGTCGATGCCACTGCAGCGGACGACAAGCTCTTTCATATTTAGGTCGACAACGGAAATCCAAATCAGATAATAATGAAGGTTCTATGTCTTACTTGTCACGCCCAACATCATCTACAAAACTTCGACTGAATCAAACAGAATGTCGGTGACATTTTTGTAAAGTAAACGAAACACTATTCAGAGAACCTACTCCTATCAGTTTAATGTGTGAGTAGCTTTGGGCATTTAATGAAACTATCGGTTTTAATGGAAGCCATGAAATGATAGATGACGTTATTTGCTCAGACCCCAAGTGCGACCGCAAGGCTCCGAGGCTAAACCCACCGCTGTGTGGGCTTGGCTTTGTCAATATCTTAGTGTGTAAGATCATTTTATTACATACTCATATTTCAAATTGGTACAACTGCTAGAAAAGTGTTACTTAAAATATAATTAATTGTTAACAAAGGCTGAATTTGGTATCTTGTTTAGAGCCATCAAACTTGGTCATATCTCGACAGGAAGTTAATAGCATTGAGTGCAAATGGCAAGGACTGAGCTCCGCTAACAAATTCGTGCACTACGAAGTGTCGTTGCACTATGCCAACAGTCGACATCAAATCAAGGCAATAACAGTGCCTGCCCACCGCCAGGTGGCCAGTTTTAGCTATTTACATGCCCACACCAGCTACTCCATTCTCCTGCGCGCTTGTGCAAGCGACGACAGTGGCCGACCGCGGAACTGCGGTGAAGCAGTTGAGGCGTCTGGTTACACCAGACCAAGCAGTAAGTTCCGTTGTGTGATGGACAATTATGCATGACACCTAAGAGTCACTTGGATAGGGACTGAATCCCGCGTGGTCCCTCACAGACGTCTAGACAAAGTATGCGAAGCATAGATGTGGTGTCGGTTTTGACTTGGACGATGTAATTCACTTGGAACAACCTCAAGTGCCTAAATGCCGTGGCTGGCAGATGCAGCATTCACACGAATGCATGTGCCTCTTTGTACCCATGAGCCTACAGGCCTACTTTCAATGCCGACTGTCACTTGGTTTGGCATTGGTCGCCTTAGAAATGATGTGCGCGACGTACAAGATGAAATTGTCAAAGGATCTTATGCAGTACTTTGGCTGCCACGGGATAAATAGTCAACACATCATGAATGAGCGGAGCATGCAGCTTCGACACTCCTGTAAATGTTGGTAAAGAAGGTCACGTGTTGTGTGAGTACATCGCATGCGAGGACAGAGATCTCGTGCAATCTGCTCGGAATAACCCTCGACTGTGCTAGAAACAAACTCTAATTCAATAAGGTTGCAATTTCTTCTTAACATTTACATGACCCAAGAGGAGATCGTGGACGCCAGTGTAAGATACCTTACATTTTTATCTTGCATTTCAGAACCATCTGCGTTGACTATTGGAGAACGCACCTCGTCCACAGTCTTACTTCACTATCGGAAGCTACAAGAAGATAACGAAAATTCACACTTCACCTATTCGTTGACGTACCGAACCAAGGAAGGTGGTGAAACTAGAACAATTGTGTGTAAAACTTCCGCGAAGACTTGTTACGTCACCGGACTCGCTGCAAACAGCGAAGTGACAGCTTCATTAAAGGCTTGTTGCAGTCACGGGCTTTGCAGTCCAGCATCTCCAGACATACTCATGTATACAAAACCAGGAGGTGAGATAGCGAATTGTTGTTTTAGTGCGATGGCACTACTACGTGTTCTCTTGGCAGTAGTTTTTAGGGTATGGGAGGTGATGACTTGTACTAACACAACACGTCTTACGTGCGTGGATAGCCTTTCTCACCTCAACTTAGAAACTCCATGATTCCTGTCGCTACAATCGCGTTTTGTAGTCTGCTTGATTGTTAAGCAATGTTGAAGTGCTAACTTACCACATGCTTTTGGCAGTCATTATCGTGTTTTTCAATCATGGGCACTAAACTCTCTCTTAAACTCATCTACCATTCACTAATGAGAGTAGTATATTGACGGCATTCTTAAATATGCACGCGCAACTGACATTTTAGCTTGTGAAAATCTCCGCACGATAAATCTTGCGATGACTTCAATCGAGGTGTCGTGGTCGAAACCTCGTGTTAACGGTGAAGCACTCACCAGTTACAAGGCGATTGCTACCGACCCGCAAGGCAGGCAGTCGTTCTGTGTGGTGCCTGTCGAAAACCAGGAGAGACTAGTCTGCACATTTCAAGGCCTCTCACCTTGCTTGGAGTACGCAATCTCAGTCAATGCCTGTGCTCGCCGCAATGATTGTGGCTTGCCGGTCACCATGACCGCATCTACTCTTTCTGTCGGTAAGTTTATAGGTGGCATACTTTGTCGGTTTAGGGGTGAACAGTAAAGAATAAACATGTTAGGGCTGGTTTTGCTGGAATAGTATACCACAATAGGCATATAGTGAGTAGATTAGAAGCGAATGCGGATGTGGAAGTAGGATAACTGACGGTTTTTGCAAGTTGAAGGCGTTTGTTATTGACTCCCGGTGTGGTTCGAAGTACCTTGGCGTTCGTCTGTGTTACCCTTATATCAAAATCCAAATTTAGACACTCGAAATGACGCATCCGCTTTAGTTGACGTGTGCGACACCGGACAAATTCAAACTAACCATCGTTAGGTATGAACTCATTTTCTTAACGATTGACGACGCCCAACGACTTTAACAACATTCAACATGTTTGTGATTTCTGCCACGTATTGTGCAACAGAAACTGCTCAACTGAGAATCGATTTTGTTTAGGTGTCGAGGGTCTGTCCACAGTGAGGTCAAACTTCGCGAGCATAACGTTTTCATGGATGCCTCAATCCATTCA